GTTCCCCCCACTATCAAACATCACTTTGTCGAGCGAACCTCGAGAGTTAACGAAAATATTCACTTGAATGGACCTTACAACGGGCACAAGTAACGAGTAATGTGCGACACTTAGCAAATTTAAGCAAAGTAAAAACATGCACTTAAAACAAATCATACACAACCAAAAATAAATATTAACATAAGGTGGCCACGAGGGCCGCAATTGTACTTGTTACAATAAAAAGGGGACCACGCCCCATACAAAAAGATAACATAAGAATACGACACACAGACCGGGAATACAACAAAAAAGAGACTAGTCGACCATAGGTTGAGCCTCGTCCCAAGCAGGATGCCCCTGCTCCTCGCCAAATTTTAGGAAGTCTGGGATTACGATCTGGCTGTCTACCACACTGTAGAGAAACCTGGTCCTCTAGATAGACAACTCGACCCTGGGGTTCACTATCTTCAGTTGCCCCACAAAATTGTTGAAAGCGTCCTCGGCGATCCCTATGCATTCCTCCTCAGCCTGATTGATACGGGCGACAAGCTCTGCTCGAGTCTTCAGACTCTTCACCTCATCGCTTTCATCCTCAGCAGTAGTAACCCTCAGCGATGCGACAACCTCCTCCACAACTTTCTTCTACACGGCCAGCGTGTCCTTCTCCTCGGTGACCTTAGCCAACTCATCCTTTCTGCCTCCTCGACAGACTTCTTTGCCGCCTCCTTCGCAGCCTTCATCTTTTCTTCTAGAGTCCATTCGTGACTTATGCCTTTTTCATCTCCACTTCTTGGAGAGCCCCCTCCTCAGTGTAGACTGTCGCCATACGAAGAAACTCCTATTGTAAAAGCATTGATGCAGGTCAAACTTGCTCATCTCCCTCTTATGAGTCAGGTCGAGGATATCGCTTGTCCGAGGACACTTGGCCCGAGAGGTTACCGGCAACGGGGAAGTCTAGGCAGCTGCGACTCCGGAGGTTGAACTCCTCGACCCCGTCGGGGGTGGAACCACTTGCTCGCCCAGAAGGCTCTTTCCGACCTTTTTGCCCGCTTTAAGCTTCGTCTTGACGGTCTTTACCATGCGCTCTTAGGAAGAAGATATCTTACCTGCAAAACAATGAGCAGACATCAGTAAGCAGGGCAAATAGAAATACAAACAAGCTAAGAAGTAAATAGCTACCCGGAAGTTCTAAAGTCTTTTCACGAGTGCTACACTTGAGAAGCTCCTTCGTATATAACAGGTCTCTACTTTGACCCCCCCCAGTCTGCCTCATAGATAATCTCCCTGCTCTTAGTCATGTATTGGGCAGGGACCAAGCTGTCGAGAAAGCCCACCAGCTTTTCGTAGCTGGCCCGATCATCCTCCCCCAGCTAATTCGGATTGGTAAGGTATTCATCAGTTCCCCAGGTAAAATGGTCCCCGCTCCAGTAGAAGGGGAACTTCAGCAGCCTCTGCCCTTGTACCTTACCCTGCTCTTCGATAAGGGTTTTCCCATTTTCATCTGTCGAAACCTCCTAGATGAACGAGGATTTTGTGGCCCTCTCCGACACGGGCTCGATGATGTTGAACTTCTCCTTGAACATTCTGATGGACTCAGAGAAAGAATTGAATAATTTCCTCTCTTGCTTCAGAGAGATCCATCTGAACTGCCAGCCAGCAACCTGGCACTGAAGATGGAAGACGGTGAAGAAAAGGGGAAAAGTGGCTTCTATCTTCAAAAATTCACATGTCAACTCGAATGGCCATATGAAAGTAATTAAGTTTGGATGTAGTTGTGAGGGCGCCAAATCCTGATGGTCGAAGACTGCTACTTGAAAGTTCGTAAAAGTCAGCCTCAACCTTATCTCTTTGAAGACGTACTCGTACATGGGTAACCTCTCCCTGTATGCCGAGAAAATTCGATTGTTCTCCCGAGGAAAGTGGACCCTCCAATCTTCCTCGGCCTCCACCTTCGCGAAGGCAGCTCGGGTATAAGAAGGGAAAAGGGAGGCATGCTTCATAGGCTCAACAATGACCCACTCTTCTACGGTACTACTTGGAGCGGAAGTTTCGTCGTCATTCTAGGGAGCAGAGGTCTCGCCATCATTCTGCAGAGCGAAAGTTCCATTCGTGTTGCTATCTTCCGAGGAGCTCTCCTCGGACAGTTCCCTCATAACTTCGTCCTCGGCTTTGTGAGACATCTTCTTTACTTGAAAAGTAGGGGATAAAAGTGAATTCAATGATAAAGTCAAATCCACCCTTCTACCGTTAGTCAAGTGAAAGGGCGTGCGAGGGTTCGAGGACAATGTATTCGACCTAAGCCCCTACTCAAATGGCACAGCAACGGTGCGAGGAGACGCCCATGAAAATCTCTCAAACCCAGACGGGGAGATCCTCCCCGGTGCGTTACCCAGAATGTCGTTGGAGATCCACTAGAAAACTCATGAGTACACCAGAAAACGCATGAATCCCACCAGCGATAAACCCACTTGTCATCGCAATGGTGCCAAAATCGACTAAAATCCTAAGTTCCTGAGGCTCCGACGACGACACCGAAGACAAAAGATGGCCTAACCACCGCCAGCCACCAACATTCGCCGAAACCACCCCTACTTTACCCAGTTTCATCCTAACCGCATGTAAACTAAGAGAAACAGAAGCTAAAACACTTAAAACAGAAAAGAGTTAGGATGACTTATGTGGTCGAGGAAGAGAAGTAGGTGCTCTGCGAGCTCTAGACGTTGTGTGTGTGCCGGTGGTACGACAATGAACAGAGGATACAAGAACAATTAGCAAGATAAGAAAGAGAAATGAAAAGTGGAAACGAGTGCTTCTTTCCCCTATTTATAGGCAGAGCAGGGACACGTGCACGACCACACACGGCGTAGGGCATCATTATAATCCTAGCAAAGCCATCATTACATATTAAATGCAGCAAATGGCTCGATGCACACATGGCACTCCATTCCTTCAAGTCCCATCAACTGTTGGGCTCCCAGTCCATCGAGCGCTCAAGGCAACGTTCCAGATTCCCCGGGTACGGATGCCTTCGAGCACTACAAAGCGACCCCATATCAATAAACGGGCGTCGACCATGCCCACTCTTCCTCGGACCGTGGGTTACCCTTAAGTAATCACTCTTATGCCCAGGAGAAACGACTTGGGGGACTCCTGTTCCGGACTGGCCCAATGGCTAAGCATGATCCAATCCACTTCTCTGCGTCCAGAACGACCCAATAGCCTTAGCAGGTAGCCCTGCTAGCTAAGGGCAAAGGAGATCCTTCTCTCCTCTGCCCCTCTGCCGAGGAAGGCTGACCAGCTGACCCCCAGGATCATCTGCCCCTCGTCACATTCCTGCCTGTCACGCACAGTTCCACCATCCAGAAACAATCACGGCGCTTGTGCCCGCGACCACGTCCTTGCCCGTGGCAACGACTAGTTCTGAGCATCTATGCCCATCCCAACGAATGGTTACTGGAAGTTACCTATTCTTTGGGAGCGAATATCTAGCCCCGAAAATAGGGACCAATGACCAAGCGCTGGGGGAATTATAAAAACCCTCTCACTCGAGAGGGTCAGATATTCTAAAATTATTCCAAATCACCCTAAGACATAAACTTTTTGTACTTGCCTTCTCTTCGCCCGATTCTTACTTTAGCATTAGAGTATCTTGCAGGTACACCCCCTCCTCATCAAATGAAGTTCTGATCAGCCGTTAAGATCACCTAGACACTACCAGATGACTATGGATGTTTCATCATCTTAATTATGTCGTCGGTACACCTTGAAATCTTAGCATCTAATTCGATCAACTCCTTTGTTATCCTACGACGAAATAATCTTTTAATATCTTTCACATCTTCATCTGTCTTCAACTTAATAAGGTTGTATTTCACTCTTCCGTCAGTATCAATCCAATATTCACGAAACTCAATCTTTCTCACCTTTCTGTTTTCGGTATCCGGCAACAATTCATTCAACTTGAACATCAGGATGACGAGAGATGTGGTGTCATCCAGAAGTCGGAACTCTACGGGGAGTGAAGCTCCGTTGAAATATACTTCTGCCTTAATAAAAAATTTAGGAAGAGACATTTTTTGAGATGTTTTTATTAACAGGTGACTCCATATTTATACAACTTTACATTTACTCTAGAGTACACAAAATTGTCGACGCAATCACAGTCATCTAAAATTGTCGGCAAAATCCCAAACGTTTAAAATTTCAAACAAATAACATACTAAAAATTTTACTTTGGTTGAAATTTCTAGTATTAAATGGTAAATTTTAAATTTTCAAATTTAATTGAAACTTATCGGAAATTTTGAAATTTCCAATATACCAAAAAATTTACAATACACTACCGAAAAATTTGTTTGCATCGAAAATTTTGTTTTTGCTTATAAAAAATTTAGAATGGAAATTTCATTCAATTTTCAACTAGAGGCAATTCTTGTTTTTGCTTATAAAAAATTTAAAAAGAAAATTTCATTCAATTTTAAACTAGGGGCAATTCTGCTAATTTAAAAATATGAGATGTCAAATATAATTTGGAGGTAGCGAGATAAAATCTCCATCATCATTCATCAAATTATTTTGCAACAGGTCACTCGATTCAACCTGAAACAAATGACAAGACTTTTTTTTTTCTTATCATTCAAAAGACCCACCCAAAAATCATTCAACGAGAAGTATTTTTTTTTGCTTTTTTTTTTCTTGCATCCAACATTTTAAAAGCACTATTATTGTTAAAAAATATGGTTGAGTCTAATTCAACTCTATAAAACTGATTAGTATAGTGAAAATTGTCCTTACTTATAAACACATGTTCATGCTATATATTGTCCGATGTAAGACTCTTAACAGTTATTCTCAAAATAAACAAACATTGTGCAGAAGGCAGCAATGGAACTAATTTCAAAATAGTTGAAAATCAACGGACATTAATTGGGTAAAATCTGCTAATGAAAGCTTTCAACACTGTTCAAATGCGGCCTCAATGCCTCGTCTCAATCTGAGCACCCCAATCCTTCCTTTCGTTACACCCTGCCACTGCATGAAAAACAACCACAAATTAGATTCAAATGCCCAGTGAGTGTAGGAGTAGTATTCACAAACCAGTACAGGGTCACTTGCAAATGAAAGAGAATGCAATAGAATTTAGATCATAGCAGCTTCAACATATAATAACATGGTGAGTACAACTCAAAAATACTTAGATGGGCTTTTATGGAAAATTGCAATTAGAAAATGGTGATTTAAGTAGTGTCTAAACTCTAAAATGCGCCTTGTACAAATTTTTGTTGCAAAAACAAGTATTATAGTTTTTAACTATATTTGATAATGGCTTGTTGGTTTGCATACTTTGATGACGCATAGAACAAAATGGATATATAGAAGAGATCTAGGTAGGAAGGAAATGCTAACATCAAAATCTATATCTCATATCAATTGGATAAGAGGTAAACCATAAGCACCAACAAAGTTATAATCCTTAAATTGCCTAAAATTTCATGCAAAGATGAATGCAAAATAAAGCATCAAGAGATCTATACCCTGGTATATGATGCCCCTTGTAAGCTATCAATAATGCCTCAGTATTTTCTTTAAACTTTGATATATACTTGATCAAGAATATTTCCTCGGACAAGCATAATAGATAAACAAAGCTGGAAACCTTACATAGATTTTGTGATTTCAAAAGCTGAAAAACTCTATATCTAGGAAACACTCGATCCTCAATGCTATACATCAAAATCATAGGCCGGTTAGCCAATGCCGACTTTGGTAGCATAACTGTATGTAAGAAGAATTCAATTCCAACCTTTAATTTTTTGTCTGATACCCTAAACAAAGCTGGAGACTTTTTGAACATTTGCAAAGTCTCATCTTTAGAAAACCCAAAACTCTGAATTAAATCCAGCTTTCTCTTAAATGTTTTCTTGCTCAAACCAACTATCGTATGAAGCGCGTGAATCAACATTCTTGAATTTTGATGGAAACCCAATTCTAGAGCTTGCAAAACATAGTTTCTAACAGCAGATTGTGAAAAACTCAAAAGCCTTGAATGTCGTTTGAGTAGAAACAAAACCTGATCCCCAACAATGCCATAGCTCTCTAAGAAAGCAATGTTGGAAACAAATAGCTGGTACTTTGGGAGTATCCAACCACATTTGCACAAAACTTGAATAAGATCTTTCTCATTGCGTACAATTTTCTTAATAGCTTCCACTGAGGGAACCAATGTTTTGTTCAAACTAGCAGTCAAAATGGTTGGATACCTTGAAATAAAGCCGCTTAAATCAGAACCCTGAAAACCCAATTGTTGAAAGAGGTCAACTTTAGGCCTGAGAGTTTTATCAACATCTGAAAACAGTAATTGAACTCTCTGACGAATGATAGTTTGAATCTGAGTTTGAGAAAACCCAATTTGTTTGAAAAAGTTGATTACAGACAAGGGGTTTTGAGGGAAGGTGGTTCCTGAAAAACGTTTAGAGATATAACTGGATTGAGGTTTGGGTAATTTGAAGTTGGAATTAAGGTAGTCAAATATAAAAGTGGTTTCTTTTGAGTTTTGGTTTTTTGGGGTTGATAAAGAAGCAGTAGAAAACGAAAGGCGAAAGGATTGAAGTGAGTTAGAAGAGAATGGAGGATTGAAAAGAAGAGGGCGTAACCGGTGAGATTGCATTGCAATAGGGTTATGTAGTAGGATTAGAATGTTCAATTTTACAAACACGTTGCGTGCATGGATGATAAATAAGACATGAAAAGAAGTGGTTTTATGTTAGGACTAGTTTGTTCAATTTAACAAACATGTTGTGTGCATGAATAGTAAAACATGAAATAAGGGAGATTCATTTGAAGTTTAAAGCACGAAAATAAAGACACTGAATGATATAATAGAATACACATGGATTCTGTGTGGGTTTCGAATCAATAAAAGAAGATGAATCCAGGGAATGCTAAGGTTGAAGGAGCGTGATTCTGGTTGGAAATGTTGGGAAAGTGGAAAAGGGGTGTTAATAGTTGGTTATTTTATTTTTGAAATAAATATTACACTCTTCGATCCAAGAGTGTGTATATAGCATTTGATGATTTCACATATGCTATAGCTATATATTTACAGTGGAAAACGAGTTCGATTTGTCGGACATATTCATTTTATCTGCACTTTTTTTGTAAGGTGGATCAAGATTTTAGATCTGCACTCTCAAATATGTTTATCTCGTTCATTTTCGTTTTTATTTTTATTTTGCATATACGGACATTTACTTAAATTTTGGGGAACTTCTCCCTCCTATGTGGTAGAGAAGCATCCTAAGAAAATTTTGAAAATGCTCCTGCAAATTCAAAAGTGCATTTTTTGACACATTCATTTTACATCAAATGCATGCGGATATATGTCACACCTCTCTTTTTGCCTGAAAATAGTTAAAATATGAACTTTCGTGTTCACCTCTTACGCAACCCATGCATTCCTAACTAACACACTTTCATTTTGGCATAAATGGTTTAGAGATGCATCTCTCTAAAAGGTTACAGATTTAGACTTTCGTATTCATCCTATACAGTAAATTCTGACCATTTAAAAAAAAAACAATGATATAATAGACCATGTATTATAATTCTACCATCATAATATTTTTTTATAAACTAAATCATACACTTATCAACTAAGATGAAAATGACATATATAAATTAATCAATCCTGAATCTAGAATAAAATCAAAATAAATTACAAACGATAATAGTATCTCTAATACAAATACTATATTACTGCGTATGTCAGACCCCCGTGTTCCTACATTACTCGTTGTGCCACAGTTTTGTTTGTGCCTTAGTAAGAATGGTATCTCCAATGTCCCTCATAGGAGAGCCTTTTAGACAGATTCTACTATTTATACCCGCACGTGCAAGATCCATAAGACGATGACATGCAGTTAACACGTCAATATCATGATTTGCCCTAGTTTACTCCTCCTATAATATCTCGTGATGAGTTGACCTAGGTAGATCTCCCGAAGCAACTGGGGTCATATAAGGATCTGACACTCTTAAATACCATTGAACGCAATCGCATTCACCTCTCCAGTCGCTAGGAACTGCGGTACCTCGTACGTCATCTGGTACCAGATGATTAAGGTAATCATCATACATGGCATCTACATCTTTGTGGACCATAGTAGAATGAGCAAAATTTGAGGGGTCTCTTAGAACAAACTACATATACCCTAACTGGCGCACGCTTAAGAAGATGTGGATACATCAGACATGATTCACAAGTCAACCATCCAGAGAAGAAGTTTATATCGTCCAAGGAACGCATGGATGAAAGTGTATATCATCTTCTATGTTAAGACAAATTTAATTCATACCATGTATCCTCTAAGGTTTTGATAATAACAAAGTATTTGAAGAACAATTAGGATTTCTAACTAGCTGGTTCATGTGTAAAGAATCCAATTTACTCGATGGAGCAAGTTCTGTCATGGAAGAAGCTATAGTTCGGTTCATATCAAGTTCTTGTGAGAGAATCTGACCCTAAAGATATCTTTTGCATATTTCAGAATCAGAAGTGTGCTAACCCTGCCTCTGAAACAGAAGGATGACAACTCAAGCTCAGAAATCACGGGACTCAAAAGTAGTTTACATTATCTCCAAAAGATTGTGTTATACTTGTTGCATAGAAGAGTTCCCTGGATAAAGGCCTTGTTCAGTGGGTAATTCCTTGACTACGAGTTCCAACACCTACTTTATTGGAAAATAAGATGTGCAAAAATATTTGATTTGAAAATAGTCGTTAGGATGCTTCAACAACTCTATTTCTTCAGCTATAAAAGGAGCAGAAGAATAGAAGATCAATCAAGATAATAACACTGCGACTACAATTGTAATATACACGCACTGCACACCATATGTATCAGCTCAAGAGAAGCTAATCCTTTAGGAGTTCTTATTCTTGTATAGCTTAAGAATCTTAGTGTTAAAGTGTGTTGTATTATATTTGAACACCTCTGATTATTAATCAAGTGTTGTTGTAAGTTATTCCTTCTCTAAACAGTTAATTTAGATAAATTCTTGTGTTGTGTGCTTGAGCATTGAAGTCTTAGATTCGAGGAATCTTAGCAAGAAAGTCTTGGACTGTAGGTCTAAGCAAGGAAGTCTTGAATTCGATGGACTTAAGCAAGGAAGTCTTGGATTGAAATCTAAGCAATCAAGATTTAGACTATAGGTCTGAGCAGGAAAAATTCTCATACTTGAGGGTATAAGCAGTTGTAATTGGTTTGATTATATTGGAAATCTCTTGTGTTGCAAGGGGACTGAACTACTCTCGGTTGAAGAGGAACCGGGATAAATTATGTGCGTTCTTTGCCTATTTATTTGCTTTTGTTATTTTATCCATTGCAACTTGTTAATCAGTCTCTAAACTTTTGCTTAGATTTTGAACTCTAGTTTAGAAGTAAAAACGATTTGGCATACACAATTTAACCCCCCCCCCCCCCCCTCTTCTTGTGTATTTTTCTCACTTTCATGCTATTGTATGGTCAAGATACACTCTAAAGAGTTTGGTCGCCTGATTCCATCTGAGCGGGACGAATGCACACGCACGGAACATATTCTTAAAGTAAGTATCAACATATGACCAGCCATATATGGTGCATATGAATTATTAGTAATGGTGTAGGGCAAGTGTTATTAAAATGGTACAAAAATAATAAAGGATGCAAATATATTACTGTCAACAACGTGTCGCTAGCTGTCATCTGTTTGGTCTTCCACATACAACTTTCAGCTAACTTGGAGTACAGGTAGACCAAACAAGTAGCCTCACTCTTTTACTCATGAATCCGCTCCAAAACAGCAAAGTATATAAGGTCAACAATATCCATGTAATAGGAACTCTTGTCCCCAAATATGGACGTGTCAACCAAGTACAACTGATATGCTCTCGGTGCATATGATATATGTTGCATAACCTGCCCATCATCACCATCGGCTTGCTCTGCCACTGTCAATTGTTGTGCATATAATTTCCCTAGAAATCCAAACCTAGCATGAGCCATCGAGTCTCTTTTATCTCCTCTAGGGCTTCCCCTAGGTCAGCTCTCAAATATGTCACAATCATCTATAGTGCCTCATCTCAGATAATCAAATCGTGGTCTAAAATTTTTCCCATGATCGAAAGATGCAGCAAGCATGACACATCGTCTAGTGTAATGGACAACACACCGTGTGGAATATGAAAAGGTGATGTCTCAGAGTGTTATCTCTCAACGAACACTTACAACATGCCATGGTTAATAGTATAATAACCAGTCTTGCATAAGTCTCACTGTAACACCCTAAATTCTTGGAATATTTATTTAATTTATTTAAATATGAATATTCGCATTTTTGGTGATTTTCGGTGGTTGGTGTTAATATTGGAAATTATGGATTTTGAGTTATTTATTTAAATAATAGTATATAATATGAATATATTAGTATTATTATTAATTTAAATAAATATAAGTGAATTAATGGCAAAATGGACATTTGAGGAGGAGTTAGTGAGGGTGAAGTTGGAAGGCCCAATTTTAAAGCCCAAAGTTAGGTTTAACAAAAAGGAATTTTGAGAGAATTAGGATTCATTCTTATTAGACCGTGAAAAGAGAAGAAATAGAGGCCAGAGCTCTAAGGAAGAGGATTGAGGCAAGGCTCGCGATGTTTCTAAGAATCAAGGAGAAAGGCTTAGAGTCGGCAATTAAGGTATGAGGAGTATTGCCTTCATTGTTTTCAATATGTGATTCAATGTATTTAAAGCTGATTTAAGGGTTTAGGAGATTTTTGAGTTTGAGAAAATTAGGCCTTCGTGGCCAAATCTATTTTTGAGGTTGTTTAAGTATGGGGAGTATTGCCTTCATTATTTTCAATATGTGATTCAATGTGTTTAAAGCCGATTTAAGGGTTTATGGATTTTGAGTATTGAATTGTTGTTGCCTTTCTGGTGAGTATAATGAGTTTGAGGGATTTGAAATGATGGTCTGATAGGTTTGAGGCTGATTTTGGAGGAAGGGAAATTAGGCCTTCGTGGCCAAAATCTGTTGTTGAGATTTTAACCGTATAGGGTAATTGATTATGAGAACTCTAGTGAATGTGTGGTAAATATAGGGATTTATGGGAATTGGAGGCGTGGATATGATACGGGATTGGCCTAATAAGTTGTAGATTTTGTGCCTTTAATTGTCGTAATACTTTAGGAATGATTTAGGGATATTTTTGGGGGAAGGAAATCGTAGGGACTTTTGGGCTGGTTTTTCTACTGGTGCGTAACAATAATTTGCTGTAATCGCGAGTTTGCACGGCGAACATTCGCCCCAGACTCGCACATCAAACTTTCTAGCGAACGTAGCAGAGTTTCGCTAATTATGATCTTGTGCAGTGATGTCTTAATGCTTTGATGCTGTAATTTTCTGGATGAATTACCTTGAGTATGACTGTGATTCATATGTGATTAATACATGACCGTATGATGATTCTTATGAGTAATAATGATGAGTTATGATGTTGATTCCATGAGTTTTTGATGATTATATGATGACATGATTATTATGATGGTTTTGATGAATGATGATGCCCCTAATGAGTTTATTATGAGGATGATATTGACGTGTGCATCATGCATCCATATGCATTCCGGATGGTATA